CCAACCCAAACCATTCTATGATTCTATGCCAGGCTGTCTGGACCTCGTTTACATCCTGCTATTATCCAAGGCAGCCGATAATGTTTTAAATGGTATAGGAAATGAGAGGCAGGATGGAAGGTACATATACAAGGCGGTTTAGAATGGCTTGTCCCTACTACAGATGCTACAGAAAGAACTATTTTCAGATCTCATCCCACCTTGACATGTGTTGGTTTGCTGGAGAACTACTGAGCTATACTAATTTCTCTTGCATTCATTTTCAGGGGCCAGGTCAGGAATATGGCAACTCTAAAAGACAGTAAGTACTGGTTTTGTTTGCTTTTGAGAGAGGAAAAGTGTTGCAGGAAAACCATATGTTAAAATATAATTTCAGTTAGCCTCCGCTGGATAAACTAATTGTGATCTATCATAACATTGATACATCAGCCTTCAGCACTTCTTGTGTGAAGCAAGTGTCTTTCAGAAAAAGCATTGCTTAAAACGGTTTTAGCACTAATTTAGATGTCATTTCACCAAAACAGTATAATTTTATTCAAACATTTTAAAGATAACTTTATCGTATGTGTTAAACCAGATTTTGCTCACTGTTAAGATTTAATTTATTCTCTGTGATGTTTATTTCCAGGTGCTTTTATCCAACATTTGTAGGGGGGGGAAAAGGTTGACTGAATGGTTTCACTTTGATAGTGCTGCTTTAAGTCGCTTTTTTTAAGTCATTCCTTATAGATTCTTATACAAGGATATTACCTTGGAATTGCACTTGTCTGTAGGACACCTATTTTGTTTTCATTTTTCCAGAATTTTTGTGAATCTCATTTTGCCATAATCTAAACAGAGAAGGAAGTTTATTCTGTCTCACTGTATATATAGTACTGGGTTTTTCCCACCCCCTGCCCATTATCTGGGGAGAGATGACAATATACCTCAAATAACATATTTGTGAAATGGGTAAAAGTGGAAGGAAAGAGATAAATAGATCTTACATGTAAATAGATCTTACATGGGGCTAAATATTAAATAAATGTTATATCTGAGGGAAAAAAAACATACCTATTGTAAAGGTGCATTTGGTTTAGTAAGGTTACTACTCTTACTGCTTTCTTACAATAAATAGTAAGGACATGTCTTTTATGAGGTTTATTGGTGCATTGTTTGTTTATTTTTTTTTTTCCTTCTTTGAGGGTCTTGGCAAGATATTTTTGGATGGCTATTGCTAGCATTTTATTCCTTGTTTTTGATGTCATTATGCCCAGTACAGCCCATGACCTTCAACTATTAACCTTGTAGTTACCAGGCGTTTGAAGTCCATCAAGAACATTCAGAAAATTACAAAGTCCATGAAGATGGTTTCTGCAGCAAAATATGCAAGAGCTGAGAGGGAGCTGAAGCCTGCTAGAGTCTATGGAACAGGAGCACTTGGTGAGAGAAGACTTGTGCACTGTGTGATGTGGGCATAGAAGAGAGAGGCTTTCATGGTCTTGAGGCTGAAAGAGTTGGGGCTGTTCAGCCTGGAGAAGAGAAGGCTCTGGGGAGATCTTATAGTGGCCTCCCAGTACCTGAAGGGACTACAAGAAAGCTGGGGAAGGACTTTTCATAAGGGCAGTTAATGACAAAACAAGGGGAAATGGGTTTAAGCTGCAAGAGGGCAGGTTTAGATTAGATATTAGGAAGAAGTTCTTCACTGTGAGGGTGGTCAGACACTGGAACAGGTTGCCCAAGGAAGTTGTGGATGCTCCTCCCTGGAAGTGTTGAAGGCCGGGTTGGATGAGGCTTTGAGCAACCTGGTCTAGTGGAAGGTGTCCCTGCTGATGGCAGGGGGGTTGGAACTGGATGATCTTTAAGGTCCCTTCCAACCCAAACCATTCTATGATAAAACACCTAGATTTTTTTAATCTTTTAGTAGATTTTTTCCAAAATAATTTGTATTTCGAGGCCAGTCTCATCTCGAGTATTCCTTACAAGTGATTTATGGAAAGTGATTTTTTTTTTAAGAATTCTAATGTGAAATTCATTATGATTTCTGATAACTTTTTTAACTTGGTGTGGTTGTTTTTATTAGTCATAAAAGTACTACAACTCAGAATTTCTGACCTGCTTCTATCTGTTAATGGAATTGTGTCGTATCTCTGTAGCATCTACAGCTACTGCCAAACCTTGCAAACTCTTGGGCCGCACGTGCTCCTGACACACTGGGCTTTCTCAGTGAAATTAACTAATTAATGGCACTGATTGTGTGATACCTGATGCAGAGATGTGGCTGACTTTGAATTGTTTCTTTGTCACCTGTGGTCAGATTACATGCAAGCATGAATGGTTGTGAGGGAGATAAAACTCATCTGGCTGTGACTGGGAACCCCTTTAGAAATTGTTTTAGTTAGAATAATTCAAAGGTATTTTGATATGACCTATTTGCTTCCTGGCACCCTCAAATAACTTATCCATCTTTGTTTTTAGCTCTTTATGAGAAAGCAGAAATAAAGGCCCCAGAGGACAAGAAGAAGCACCTCCTTATCGGTGTGTCCTCTGATCGAGGTCTGTGTGGTGCTATCCATACATCTATTGCTAAAACCTTGAAGAATGAGATTACCAATCTGTCAAACGCAGGGAAAGAAGTTATGGTGGTTGGAGTAGGTGACAAGATCAGAGGCCTACTTCAAAGGTAAAAAGGAGAAGGGTTTGGTTTGGTGGTTTTGGTTGTTTTCTGTGGTAGAAATTTCAAGGCTGCTTGGAAAGCTGCGTGGTGTTCACAGGCAATTGCATTTAATTAAGTTATCAAGTTAATTTAAAAAAAAAAAAGAATCTAAAATCTGCAACTACTCTAAGATGGTTTTTGATTGGAATAAAAGTCTGAAAGCTAGCAACACCAGCACTGCTACAAGTGTGTGTTTATTGTGAAGCTATCATAATAATGTAACTGAAAAAAAAAAAAACCAACAAAAAAAAACTTATCTCAGTCCCTAATTCAGTCAAATGGTTGGTTCTGAACACGAGTGAGTTACTGGACTCATTGCCTCTTGGTGCCACATAGTTGTACATTAGAGCATCTGCTTGGCTCTGACACAGATTTGATGTTACTACAGGACACATGGCAATTACTTACTGCTGACATTCAAAGAAGTGGGACGGAGACCTCCAAGCTTTGGAGATGCTTCAGTCATTGCCTCAGAGCTGTTAAACTCTGGATATGAATTTGATGAAGGCTCTGTCATCTACAATCGGTTCAGGTAAGATTAAAGTGAAACTGCACTGGAAGAATATTGGGTAGAAGGCTTCACACAGCAGGTTGGCCTGATGAAGTAATATGAAAACTGGCTGTGAATTGTCACATTTATTTTTTGAAGGAGGGAGCGCATTTTGTTGTGTGTGAAGACCTGTTGGTTGGGTTTGGTTTCTTATTTTTAATGCTTGTGGTTGGATTTCTCTTTTTACTTGTATAGTGGGTGCTGTTATATTTACAGTCAGCACGTTGTTATATCCACATGGTATCTGGGATCTCTTCATCAGGATTATTGCAGAACTTTGTGGAATTGGAATGGCAGAAGTTGTCTATTCTGATTTTATTTTAAACACTCAATTTAGGGTTAGTTGAACTGAAGAGCCTGTTAACGCTATTTTTATGCAGGTCTGTCATCTCCTACAAGACTGATGAAAAACCAATCTTCTCCCTTGAAACAGTTGCTGGTTCTGGTAAGTAGCAAACTAGAAAACATCAGTTATGTGAAGTGATAAATCACAGAACGTGGGAATATGGTATTAAAACATTTTATGATGATACAAGTGTCTTAAGTTTAACAGATTATTTTTATCTTGGCAGTCCAGGGCTGACCTATCAAGGTGCTGTGAGGCAAGGAGGTTAAAAAGAGCAATTATACTAACTTTTATTTGAGATTCTTTCTCAAGCAAGAATTACACATATGCCAAGCTCTGTCAGTTTGAGTGTTTTCAGCACTAAACAGCCTGGGCACAGAGTAATTTTGCACTACCCAGGAAAAATACCCCAGAATGTTTTTGCAGCATTGTGTGAGAATATTAAACATAATACACCAATAATGTATTTGGCCTTGGTCAGAATCTGACTTTCCTATTATTAAATTGAATTAAAACACATAAAATATTTAATCTCTCTGCTATTTAAAATTTTGATACAAAAGTACACATTGTATGTAGAGAAAATCCTTCTGCGTTGTTTTAAGTAGAGAAACAGGCTAGCCTAATAGTCCTGGGGACATGGTTTAGTTGGGAACTTGTCAGTGTTGGGTTAATGATTGGACTGGATGATCTTAAAGGGCTTTTCTAATCTAGGCAGTTCTGTGGCGTTACATTGTTTTGCTAGAAGTAGTGTAGCCTGGATTTCTCTAAGTCTGCTCTTTCTTATTTTACAGAAAGCTTAAGTATCTATGATGATATTGATGCTGACGTACTGAGAAACTACCAGGAATTTACACTAGCAAATATTCTGTACTACTCCCTGAAAGAATCCACCACCAGCGAGCAGAGCGCTAGGATGACCGCTATGGACAACGCTAGCAAAAATGCTTGTAAGTCTGCACTCTGGGCTTCCCAGAAATTCAGTAGTTTAGCATGAAAGTACTGACCTCCCTTGGTGTAAGTTTTTGTTTCCAAAATCATGAGAAATGAGCTGGTTTCTCTCTTAATTCCATTTTGAGTCTGATTTGGGTTTTTTTTAGCCAGTTAACTGAGATTCTTTTCTGAACATGTGAACCTTGTTGAGTCCCTGGAAAGAGGAGTTGCTGTCAAGTATATGAGAAACAAGACTAGATAACTGGAAGTGAAATAACATATTCTTTAATAAGAATATGAAATACTAAGCTAATATTGTAACAGCCAAAAATCTTTACACTCTTCTCATGTGGCTGGTCTGAGGATTTCCAAAATGCTTGTAAACTTGTAGCTATGTGTAAGCCCCATGTAATTAGTACTGCACCAGTTTGAAGGTGGGGAAGCTGAAACAGCGGTTAAACACTTTTCTACCTGTCATGTAGCAGGTTGAGAATACACAAGTATTCCTTGGAAGGTGTCCAAACTGAGTGCAGTGCAGAGAGCACGTAGCTGGTATTAGTGGGAGACAGCTGGTAGCTTTTAACGTGGCGTGGTGATAAGACTTTAGTCCTAAGAAGGGTAGTGTTGCATAAAGGATACTGGTGACTGAGTAAAGCTGATGCAGTGTGCAGTTGGGCTGCCTGGAACTGCAGATGTGGCTCTCTGCTGACCACCTTATCTTGAGAGGAAGTGGTGATAGCTTCTCTGTTTCATGGAGTCAGACTCTGCTCAGTGATGCCCAGTGATAGGACAAGGGGCAGTGGTTGTAAGCTGGAACACAGGAGGTTCTGCTTAAACTTGAGAAGAAACTTCCTTACAGTGAGGGTGACAGAGCCCTGGAACAGGCTGCTCAGGGAGGGTGTGGAGTCTCCTTCTCTGGAGACATTCAGGACCCACCTGGACACCTTCCTGTGTGATCTCATTTAGGTTCCTGCTTTGGCAGGGGGATTGGACTAGATGATCTTTCGAGGTCCCTTCCAATCCCCAACATTCTGTGATTCATAAAAAAATTGAAGAAAAAAAAGTACAGAAAAATCTGGCTCCATTTACCAGAAGAGCAGTAACTTGAAGAAAGTACTGATGTCATTACTGACAGTGAAATGTCATTTAAAAACAAATAGTGCGTGCTCATAAAAAAATTGAAGAAAAAAAATTCAAAAAAATCTGGCTCCATTTACCAGAAGAACAGTAACTTGAAGAAAGTATTGATGTCATTACTGACTGTGAAATGTCATTTAAAAACAAATAGTGCGTGTTTGAGTTATGTTAAAATAAGTGATGTCCTACCATGTTACTTACTAGTCTGTCAGCTGTTCTTCACGTATTTAACTCTGATGCCTCAAGCCAAATCATCAAGTTTCTAGATTGTCTCCTGGTAGTGTTGTCTGTAGGGGGAAAAAATGAACAGTGCAGTAAGCCTCCTGATTGCTTGCATGGATTTACGAGACTTTGATATTCTCTTCATACAGCTTCTCTTTATCTGTATTTGAATATCTACTGTGTGTTTAAATTCCAACTTTAATTTTTTTCTAGCTGAGATGATTGACAAATTGACCTTGACGTTCAACCGTACCCGTCAAGCTGTCATTACCAAGGAGCTTATTGAGATCATCTCTGGTGCTGCTGCTCTGTGAGTACCTGTATAAACGTGAAATAGGAGTTGTTGCAAAGTCATGTAATGCTCCTACATCCTGCTTCAGTCAGGTTAACGGGGGTGGTTAGGGCATGTAGGTCCTGAAACCAAACGGAAGACAGTCCATGGCATGAATCCCAAGTTTTCTGCTTGCGCAGTTCTACTAACAAGTGTGAAGTTTGGCAGTCTTTTTTTTTTTTTGGTCAGATAAAGTTAAAAAGCTGGTAAAACAGATCTTTATCCTCAACACACATCCTTGCCCAAACAGGTGGTGTTTTTCCTCCTTTTTGATGTTCAGTGGATGTCCCCTCTCCTCCCTTCTGCCTGGGCTTTCCCTATGCAGTCTGCTCAAACAGCCCAGTCGTTTTGGGTGGGGGAGAGCAACTCAAGTGACTGAAATGCTTTTGGATAAATCAACCTGTGCTGATGTTCAGAAGCTGAGAGTTTGGGGTGGGCTTGGAAGAAGGAGGGAATTTCCACAGCCTGTTGATAATGAATGTGTGTATTTTACTTCAAGTTCAGTATTTTGTTTCTTTCCCTGAGAAAGCATTTTGTGACGGTGTGTAACGCAGGTTACAAACGTGTGGGCTCAGACCACGATATAGCTCATGTGTATTAAATCTAACAGCTACAAATTCGTGCATATACTCAGATGCAAATCCATGTGTTAATATCCTGTGTGTTTACAACATGCCTGGAATACGTACCATATAGCAGTTACGTGCTGTATTGTGCTCCTCACAATACATTTGCAGTCATAAATACGTGCATAGTTTTGCCTGAATTTGCATGAGTTGCTTCCTAACCTGCTTGTTCTGTTTTTTCTCATAATACCATAACCAGGGATTAATCGGAAAAAGTGGTTCAGCCAAATCCAAGAGGTAAAGTTATGAAATGGAAACCAGATTGTTTTATAAAATGAATTAACACAGACAATCTTGAAGTCAAATGAGGAAGTGGGAATTCAGTGTTGTTGGTCAGAGAAACTTCTCTTCCCAAAGAGCTGGGAAGCTGCCTGTTTTTATTTGGAATCTATGTGAACAAAAAATTCTTAAGTGTCAATAATTTTAAGCAAAATAAGTCCAGATAGTGTATGGCCACATTTGACATAATTTTCTGTGTTTTTTAAAACAACTCTTGGTTATTAGATTCGTTTGCAATTCCTGTTTTAATTTTTCTTATAGTGCCCTGACCTTATGCAATGACTTTAAAATGTCTGTATGTAAGACATCGTACCTGAAGAGGTTTCTGTAGCAAAATATGCATATTTAAAATCTAAAACTTCAAGGAAAAATAAACCTGGTAGAGAACTTGTGGGGGGAGGGGGTAAAGAATATTAATAAATTGAAGTATTCAGATTGGAGGAGATAAAATTTTTAAATAATTAAATGAAAGGGATTTTAATTTGCTTCCATCTTCCTTACAGGTGAAGAAGAGCTCTTCTGAGCATATGGTTTAACCTGCCCATGTCTATGTTAACAAGACTGCTCTGTTGTTTTGTGAAGAAGTGGTAAAGCCTCAGAAATCTGTAAATTCTTATAATAAACCACCTACGTGAAACAAATGTTCTTGGTTGTTCATGGAGCAGATGCTCTTGGTGTCTAAATGTCTGAGTTTGACTTGGTTACCCTTGGGAACGTAGTTTTTAAAAGCTGTGCTCTGCATTTTGTAATGTATCTGGCATGCAAAACACACAAGCAGGTGTTTCCTCGTGTGAAGAGTGGAAGAGAAAGCCTGTCTTCACCTTGTGTTGGAGCGTTGCTTTGTTACCTACGTCGTACTGTGTGGTGAAGGAGGAAACTGGAATAACCTCTCTGTGTTGTGCAGTTGGAACACAGATCTCTCTCTCATTTTAATACCATAGTACTACTATTTCTAGTTGTTCTTATTCTAAAATGAACTGAGGTGATTCCATGAGTCATTTCAGTGTTTGTTTAGAACACACACTGTTTGTATCAGCTCAGTGTGTGTGTGTGTATATTTGCATGCTATAAAATACAGTAAGAGCACAGTTCTGAGACCTCGCTGGGCATGAGAGGAATGTGAGAAAGGATAAAATGTAAAAAATAAAGAGTATAGCAGAAGTGTAAGAGAGAAGTGGCAGTGGTGCAGGATAACCATAGAAGCAGAAAGCTTTTCCTCTCAGTCTGGTAGACTAAAGAAGAGCCTTGAAGGGCTCAGTAACATACCTGACAGAAATGGGAACAGAGTTTGCAGAACAGATTTGCAGAGAATGGAAATGGCCTTGAGCTTCAAAGCCACCTGAGTGTGACACAGGGACAGGCATACACAGCCACCTGCTCATTCAGGCTGCGGTTGGGTTGAGTTGGACCCAAGTCAGGTGGTCTAGAGACTGTACCATCAAGTGCTGAGCCTGAGCTAATAGGTTTCCTTGGAGGCAACTTGTTGGCTTAATGAAGTGATGTGTTGATGCCACCCTGCACCTTTTGGTGTGCTGCCTTGGTGTGTGCATCGAGATGTACACGTGGATAAGGGAAATGGTATCATGACCTGAGGTGGGATTCAGGGAAACAAGAGAGACTGCCTTGGAGCAGATTTGTTACATATTTAATGACTTCCTTTAAGGAACTATGGTTCTAATGTTGCTGTTTTTCACGCAGTGGCAGACTGGTTAGAATGGGTGAATTCAGGGAGTACTGCAATGTGGGAAGACAAACCAGCTATGTTGTGATAGCGTAGAAGTCCCTGATCTATGCAGTTCCCAGTTCTTATCATCTGGAGCCTGTAATTCTTCTAAGCATAATTTTATTTTTATTTAGAACCCCTTTTAAATCACATTTTGTCTTGTTTTCTTTTCTACCCAAGTGTGGGAAACGCTGCTTTCAAAGTGCAAGCCTAAAAGACAGTTGATTGTAATTCACTCTGTTAAGAGTTGAGAGCTATTCCTATTGTTTAAACAACTTCAAATTTTTTTGAGATAATCATGATGATTTTCCCTTTTCCCCTGTAAATTTATCCATCGTCTCTGTTCTCTTCCATGTGCTATTACATCTCCATTAAGGAATAATTTAATGCTGGCTTTCTAACACAGTTCCCACCACGTTCCTGACCTGATGGCATGTGAGCCAAGGTCTGTACCCCTGGGGCCAGAGCTTTCCCACAGTGCCTGAGTTGTTGTGGCCGCCTGGCCTGCTGTCACCACCTTGCAGTGCAGAGTGTGCAGCTGATGGGCTCAGTGGGACAGGCTGTCATCCACGGCTGTCATCCCAGAGGAGAGGGATGACACGTGTAATGCTGAGCATGGAAATGCTGGTGTGTTTGAAATGGTTGGCAGAGTGGAAATGGCTGCGTGGGCCCTGGGCAGGACCATCAGGGACCATCCTGCTGTCCTCAACCCATCTGACTGTTCCCTTCCTCACCCCCCACACAACATGTCCTTTATTCCTCTCAGATAGGCAAGGAAATCTTTTCTGCAACCTCCAGCCTTCCCTTCTTCCCCCTTTCAAGACACAAGGGACTACCTCACACGCAGCCTGGGTCAGGTCAATGTACCTAAGGAGTTAGCATGTCCACAGAGGGAAGTTCTTACAAAGTCCTTGAATCCCATATTCAAAGAATCATGAAATAGTTTGGGTTGGAAGGGACCTGTAAAGGTAATCTACTCCAACCCCCTGGCAGATAGCAGGGACAACTTCAGGTAGATCAAGTTGCTCAGAGCCCCATCCAACCTGACCTTGAATGTTTCCAGGGATGGGGCTTCTACCACGTCTCTGGGCAACCTGGGCCAGGGTTTCAACAGCCTCATTGTAAAAAATTTCTTCCTTATATCCAGTCTAAATCTCCCCTCTTTTAGTTTAAAACCATTAACTTTTGTCACTACAGGCTCTGCTAAAATGTTTGTTCCTATCTTTCTCAATAGGCCCCCTTTAAGTACTGAAAGGCCATAGCAAGGTCTCCAGGAGCCTTCTCTTCTCCAGGCCGAACAACCCAACTCTCTCAGCCTGTCCTCACAGCAGAGGTGCTCCCTCCCTCTGATTATTTTTGTGGCCTCCTCTGGACCCGCACCAACAGGTCCATGTCTTTCCTGTGCTGAGGACTCCAGAGCTGGATGCAGCACTGCAGGTGGGGTCTCACCAGAGCAGAGGGGAGGGGTAGAATCACCTCCCTTGACCTGCTGGCCATGCTGATTGTGATGCAGCCCAGACTACAGTTGGCTTTCTGGGCTGTGAGCACACATTGCCAGCTCATGTTGAGCTCTTTATCCACCAATATCCTCAAGTCCTTCTCCTTAGGGCTGCTCTCAATTGCTTCATCCCTCACCCTGTATTGATACTGGGGGTTGCCCTGACCCAGGTGCAGGACTTTGTAGTTGGCCTTGTTGAACTTCATGAGGTTCATGTGGGCCCACTTACCAAGCTTGTCCAGGACCCTCTGGATGGCATCCTTCAGGTGTGTCAACTACACCACTCAGTTTGGTATCTTCTGCAAACTTGCTGAAGGTGTGCTCGATCCCACTATGTCATTTATGAAGATATTAAATAGTACTGGTCCCAGTACCAGACCACTATGGGATACCACTTGTCACCGCTCTCCATCTGGACATTGAGTTGTTGCTCACTACCCTCTGGATGCGACTATTCAGCTGATTCCTTATCCACCAAACAGTCCATCCATCAAATCCGTATCTCTCCAATTTAGAGACAAGGATGCTGTGGAGGAGCATGTCAAAGCTGCATGTTCATTCCCTTAAGAACACTTGAGAAGTTTCAAACAGGGGGCCTGTGCATTGGCAGCTTTCTAGAACACTCAAAAAAATATGTTTCTAAGATGGGAAAATGTGATGCCAGTTCAAAAGTACCCAAAGCTTCTCAATGGACTGAAGGGAGTGAGCAAAGAATGTCCACCTGCCCTGACAAACCATGAGCTGCAGGACTTTGTCATGGGTCCAGCTCTCCTCTCCTCAGGCTGCAGACTTGAGATGTGACTGATAGAAGAGACCAAGCTGTTTATTGACTAATCAACACACTACTAATGCTCTAATAAATCAAAGAACTAATTTGTGAACTAATTAACTTCTAATAATAGACCGCTATTGTTTACAATTCTGTCCTTCACGCTCTGATTAGTTACACACAATTACCGAGTTACAGTTTAGCACTTGTGGTATTTGTGTGTGCACAGCCACCACCGAATAACAGCTCTGCTGCTCCTCATTCTACCT